AACAGTGAGACATTTCTCAGGTGTGTGGAGCTCCACCGGCCGTTGGCGGGGACTGACTGTCCGTGTTCTTTGCTGGCCGGCCCTGCCTCGCGTGCCGTGGGGGACCGTGGCGCCGGGGGTGGCGCTGGGGCAGCTCGTCCCCCGCCCTCCTGCCGGCCCGCGGGACCGTCCTTTAGCTTTGTTTGAACACATTTTTGGGGGAGGGAATTAGTCTAAGACCGATTTCTCTTTCTTTTATTACCATCACTTAAGGATAATCTAAATGTAATTACCATGATGGAAGCATAATGCGATTCCAGATAATCCCAGCCGCTGCATATAAAACTAACAAAGCTCTCCCTGCTGATCTATAGGTTCTCTGGGCTCGACATGGGTTTCAAATGCTGCCTCTGGGAGCAGCACTCCAGATAATGTGAGACCATTTTTAAAAAGCAGATTTGTGTAGTCGATCAGGGCCAAGGCATTTTTTCCTCTTGCCCGTAGTGAGAAATTGGTTGTTACCATAGATCACAGGGACCGCTCCAAGCTCTTATGAAAGATGAATTAATTCCACTAATGCTCCAAAGCGGGCCTTTCACAGGGAGGCTGTGTGCTGATAACCTTCCTGCAGCCTGCCTTTGCTCCCTGTGATTTATGCCGTCTTTTAGTAGATGAAACCGCCCGTATTCGCAATCCATCTCCTGGCTAAAGGAACCCTATTAACAAGGGATCTGAGCAGAGACTTAATATTGTAAGGTGAACGATGCGGCAGCCCCCCCCCAACGTGACATGGTCTTCACTCCAGCGGTGGTGACCTCTGCCAGGGTTGGGGTGGGCACCCCCGGGGGCACCTCGGCCACTACCATCTCCTCTGCGGTCGCCTGGAGCCCTGGATGATTTCTGAAGGTGGCCGATGACCAGAGAGCTTGGGGACGTAGACGGAAAGGCGCAGAGTCAGACCTGCTACCCTGTACGCACTCCGCCTCCATCTGCAACAAGCGTCTACGTCCAGAAACTTCTGTGGGCCCTTGTGTAGTCGAGCATGAGGACCTATGCAGAGGCCCCGGGTTTCCCATCTGTGTGCCCCCCAGACGCGTGCCAGGAGGGCGGTGGTGGGGGTGTGTGTTTACACGTGCGGGTGACTGTGCCCCTGTGCATGTGGGTTTCAGGCAGAGTGTGTGGGTAAGCCACAGCGGGCAGTCACCTGGTGGGAAAGCCGCCTGTACCTTCTGGTGCCTGGGGGTGTTCTTGCCCACCCCCCACCCCAATGTGGCCCCAGTCGTGATCCCTGAGGCCTCACGGTCCAAGCCGGGGAATGAGGGTCCAGCAGTTTGGAAAGTGGATTCCGCCCTCTGGATGGAGGTGGGGGGCCGGTGTCCTCACCTGTTCCCCACGGTGCCACACGGTGCCCCCAGGGCACGTGTTCACTCCTGGTGCCGGGGGACCCCAGCCTGTGAGCTCGAGTCCCAGCGGGAGAAATGGACCTCGTGTGTATAGTCAGCCAGGGACTGTCCTGGCAGGGCGTGTGGGGTGGGGTGGGTGCCGGCTGCAGAGGCTGGTGTCTGGTGAGCTGGGGGTGCCTGGAGGGAAGGAGCCAGCAGGGAGTTGGGAAGTTTTTGCTTCTGAGAGTGAAGAGTGAAAGAAGTCCTCCTGCGGTGACTGGTTTTGTGGCAGGAGGGGTCCTGGGTGGTGTGCGCTTGAAGGTGTGGGGGCTTCACAGCCGTGCCTGGGGCGGGGCCTGGTGATGCAGCCCCAGAGGCACATCCTTCAGGTGTCCCGGCCTTTCTGGTTAGAGTCCAGGAGGGGCGGGGGCGGGGACAGCCGACTTGACCCCTGGTGCAGGGCCCCTCCTGGGGAAGCGGGGGCCGGCAGGGGCTGGTGCTGGCTGGGAGCAGCCTCCCGGACGTCCCTGCTGGGGTGCTAGCTCCTCGCTGCCCATTTCTGCGAAGGGCTGGCTGGGCGAGGCGGGGGATGCAGGACACAGTGGTTGGCCCCTGGTGGGTGGTGCCCGCTGCCCGGTCTCTGCACTGCCCTCCCGCCTCCCTCCAGTGGGTGCGCCCACCCGCCACCCGCACGGCTTCTCTGGGGCTCGCGGCTGTGTCCCCGCTCCTGGAGGCTCGCCCTGAGCAGAGTCAGGGCTGCCCTGTGCAGTGGTTTCTGGTTTCCAAACGTGTACGAGGGCACCAGGGTCACTGCGACCTCTCCCGCTCTCTATCCTCAGGGCTCCGTGGCCCAGGGTCCAGCGGCTCCCTAGTCAGGCAGCCTGACCCACAGCATCCATCTTCACGGAGCGTCCTGCTGGGCTGTGGGCCGCACCCCTTCCTCCCACCTCGCCCCACCCTGCCCCGCGTGAGCACCAGGGGGCAGGATGGTCATGGACCCAGGACAGGGCAGGTACCAGCCCAGTGGCGGACGTGCCCCCTCTGTCCTCTCGTGAACAACAAGACCAGGTGGGGGTGCTCAGTGACCCTTCTCCCAGGCTCTCCAAGTAAGGTTCTTTTTGGGGGAAGAGGATAAGAAAATGGAGCAGAAGTAAATGTGGGGTTCCTTTGACCCCCCCTCTGTCTGTAGGGCCCCACGAGGTACTCTTCGGGCGATGAGACTACAGGCCTGGAGCACCGCTGGGGGTGGGCCCTGCGGGAAGCGGCCTCCGCGGGGCCGCGTGCAGTCCCGTCCCCGTCAGCACGTGCTGTCACCTGCCAGGCCTGACAGCCTGTCACGTGGCCCC